CTGTTTTGCTAAAGCTGCATATGTAAGTGACTGGTATTTACATACATATGTTATCTAAGAAGTCAAAAGCTATTTTCTTATATCAATTATTAAATAAAATCTCATATGGGACACTTGTTACTGATGTAGTTGGGTGGGGTTTTTTTCCTTTTGAAGTCTTATTTACATTTTCTGTAAATACCTCTAGATGTAATTGTAGATTCTTAAGAAGAACATAGGTATTCTTCGTTGAAACAGATAAGGGAGATAACTGTTTAAAAGGGATATATGATTGAGTATTATTGTCATGACAGGAGTCCAGAATGAAGGCTGCACAGTGGAATGGACTTGGGGGGAGGGATTGCATAACAATCTTCTTTTACTTTTCAAGGATAAGAATGAATTGGGAGGAGAGGATGGGCAGGGAGAAAAGGGCAAAAATGAATGAATTGAAACCCTAAGTCTCTGTAAACTTTCATTAAAATTAATTAAAAAAAGAAGAACATAGGTTGGGAAATAAGATTTTTCATGCTTTAAGATAATAGAAAGTCCATATAATTGTGAAATTTTCTCCCTGTTGAGAAAGCTGTTGAATCTTGGTATTTAAAATTATACTTTTTTTTTAAATTTTATCTTTTTAAACTTGTACTTTCTTTTGCTTGCTTGAGAATAGATATATGATTTGTTTCTTATAGGTCTTAATTTTAGATTTATTTGCCAGTATATAAAAGCTAAGAGGATAGTCAGTAGAAATAAGCTGAGTTAGGTCGTCTGAGGCCATATTTGAGTTTTTCAGAGAAACTTACCAGAAATCCACCACACTAGCCTATATTGTTAGGTTACCAAACAGACAATCTTTATAGGTTTAATTAGAAGGTTGGAACAAGTCTTAACTTCTGGATTTTGAAGTAAATCCCTTTAAGTGCATTGTTCTACTGAGGTTGAGACAAAAAAAAAAGCCCTGTACACAGACAAATCAAAACTAAAGTGATTAAGGGTCTCTCACTATCAGAATCCAAAGTATTTTGTAACACTTTTAGGAAATCTTAGATTTGCTGAGAAGTACTGATTTTTCAGTTGTTTTATTTGCTCTTAGAAGAAAACTTTAAATGGCAGATTTAGTTAGAGTAATGCTAACTCAAAAATCTTTGAGTCCACCCAGATACTTCAAAAGAAAGGCCTGGTTACTTCTACAAAGTTAGCTATTGAAAATAGTGCTCTACAGTTTACTCTGATACATACTGGAGTCACCTTAACTAAGAACCACCTCAATAGAAACTTGAGGGGGGGGGAAGCATATTACTCAGCCAGATGGGCCCCTTCATATGAATCAAGTAAGGATATATTCCCATCATTTTACTAAAACTTTATTTAAGCTTTCATGGACTTTTTGAGAGAAAGTTACTAGATAGCAGAAAATGTGCATGGTGGTATGCAACTAAAATGAAAGTACACCCTTCACAAGAAAGGAATATACTATTTGTAAGTTTCATCTGTATTTTGGAGTTTCTTTCCAATTATTTAAGAAACCAGTTAGGCTAGGCTTACTAATTTGACAGACACTGATGTATTCCCCCTTAGACTGTGGTCCTTTGAACCTGGATCAAAAGTCACCCCTACAACTCAACTTCAGTCAAACAATAGACAGAACGCTGAGGTGAACAATCACACCAAGCAGATTCTCACTCCCTTAGAGTGTGTTTGCTTCAGAGTCAGAATCGACCCATAGCTAACTCCCCATGGAGTTTGCAGAGGCGGTAAATCACACAGGAGGAAATTGCCCATCCTTCCATGGAGCAGCTAGTGGTTTTGAACCATGTGCCTTTGGGATTGCAGTGCAGCTTCTTACCACTAGGCCACCAGAGCCCCTTACAGAAGACAACTATGTTAGGTCGAAAAAGCATCAGGATAAAGCTCTGAAGGCAGAAAGGGATAGAATAGTGATAGTAGGATTAATAGAAATGAGAATTACTGGGTGGGGGAGGAGTAGGAAAATTTGATTGTGAGAATTGTATGTAATTAATGTTCTAAAATAAAATGTGTAAAAAGTAAATTTTAAAAACTCCAAAATGTTTATGAGTGATTGAATAAAAAGCCAATATGATTTGCTAAAAAATTAATAAATGCAAAAAATTATGACTTATAGACATGTTATAAAATATAAAATAGGCCATTCTACGAAGATGGTGCCAAAAGCAAAGAAGGAAGCCCCTGCCCCTCCCAAAACTGAAGCCAAAGAAAAGGAGTTAGAGGCCAAGAAGGCAGTCCTGAAGGGCATCCACGGCCAAAAACAAAGAAGATCCACATGTCACCCACCTTCTGGAGGCCTAAGACTCTGAGATTCCGAAGGCAGCCCAAATACCCCCAGAAGAGCACCCCCAAGGAGAAACAAGCTTGGCCACTATGACATCATTACATTTCCCCTGACCAGTGAGTCAGCCATGAAGAAGATAGAAGATAACAACACACTTGTGTTCATTGTGGATGTCAAGGCCAAAAAGCACCAAGTTAAACAAGCTGTAAAGAAGCTCTATGACACTGATGTGGCTAAGGCCAACACTTTGATTAGGCCTGATGGAGAGAAGAAGGCCTATGCTCAACTTACTCCTGACTGTGATGCTTTGGATGTCGCCAACAAAATTGGAATCATCTAAACTGAGTCCAGCTGGCCAATTCTAAATACAAATTTTTCTCACCATAAAAAAAAATAGGTGCCTTTACTGATTTGTAAATCATAATATCCCTTAATGATTCTTGAATTTATAAAAGGAACCATTTATATGACTTCTTCTCAAAGTTTAATTGAGCTCCTTGAATTTTGGAAAATAACATTTTAAATATTGCAGTAGATTCATTTTACAGATAGATTTCCCATCATGTGATCTTCATACATTTGTTAAATATTCTGCTCTTCTCCCAAGTTTGAGCATAATCATGATTAATAGTGTTAAAGATTGTTGCCTCCACAGGACATTTGCCCATGTTAACCCAAGGATATTAAGTTTATATACAAGTTGATGCAAGAAAAAAAGAAATTTTTCAGAAGTTCCCCCCCCCCAATATCTAACTTCAGAAAACCAAGTACAGTATAACAGCTGAGTATCAGTTCTCTATGTTTTAGTATTAAGTCACCTTTTCCTTGCATTTTTCTGGGTATCAGTTGTTTTGGAAAAATACTATTGGATATTGGTAGTGGATCTGCTAGGTTCACTGAAGAGAAAACTTTGTTCCTGTTTACCCAGCTTCCACAGACAATTTACAGAAACCAGAAAAATTCTTTAATAATAATTTAGTCAGTGTTTACAGAGCAAGTAATTTCAATTTCCATTATTCCTGCACAATATAATTTTGTGCACATTGTTATTATCTACTTTATTAGAATCACAGAGACATTTCATTACATACTTTGCAGCTAAATATTTGACGTTTGCAAACTTTTTTTCCAGCCAAAAGCTTCTTAGTGTCTTTGAAGGAGGTGATAAAATTATTGTTGCTAATGAACTTCATGCAACTCTACAAACGCATTCATTATTTGGTCCATTTCTAGACTCTAATTAAAAAAGTTGTAAGCTTGACTCTCTACTAATATACCTTTACATTTGGTGTTCCCTGTGCTAATAAAGTTAAAAGTAAGAAGGACAGCCTCAGCGACAGTGATTTTATAGGTTCTATGTCATTAATTATTTCATTTTGAATGTTTGTCTTGCTAATTACTGCGTTAATCTATGAGCAAAAAAGATGGTTTCTATGTGAGGAAGAAAATTAAGATATAGTGGAGTATGATTGCTTGTTTTCTTGTATTTTAATTTATTTGTTTTTCATTTCAATGAACATCTACAGAGATTTTGGAATTACATTCATATATTGTTGCACCCTTCTCCGCGGCCACCCCACCTCACCCCCCACCCCCTTTGCTCCTCTCCCTAAAAAGCAAAAGAAAAACTCCCTCATTGGTACACAACCCCCCCC